TAGGTGGTGAGTCAAGGAAGTTACCAGAACATGCTCAGCTCACAGGCTGTACCCATGGAGAGCTGGGCTACACATGATAAGAACATTCTACAAAGGAGATCTTGAAAACCGTATCAGTGCTGAATGAAAACCTGAAGCCTGTGTGAAAAGACGTCACAACGTGGACGAAGCTCGGAAGCGTGACACTGAGCAAAAGAAGTCAGACCACCAAAAACGGGGGTTTGGGGTTGGGAAGAGTCTGCACGGCGTTCGTTGACCGTCATTATTGGGGCGCCACACTATTTGTGAAAGTACCATCTGTTGCCTCTACATGGTGGTCTCTGGATATTATGATCGAGGTGACATATTGATACATTTTTTTCACCTTTTCTACATTTTCTTCACATTAAAAAAATGGTACGGAATGGTTGCACAAGTTGAAGAACGTCATCAATGTCACTGAATTAGACGTAGAAACTGTTGAACTGGCGTATGTTTCGCGTATATTTTCATACACAAAAATGGCGCAATAAGAAACTAGAGTGTATTAACCAGAAAAAATTCAAGTTACTTCAATGTTGCAAACAATAAATAAACATCTAAAAAAAAAAAAAGCAGGTGCCAAGGCAGTATCAGGCCCGGAAAACAAACGCACAGAGAGGTGGCTCCTTCTAGCAGGCCACCCGGGAGGGGCTCTCCAGTGAATACGCCACCCAGGTCCCGAGGTCTCCTCCTGGTGACGACCTGTGGGCCGGCACACCTGGGCCAGCCCTGCCAGGGGTCCTTACGCCCGCCCGTTCCCCACATGCCCAGGAGCCGTCCTGGCCTGGCCAAGACCTCCCGCTCCTCTCCCGGTCTCTATTTCAGGGGTTGCGTGGGCTGGTCACCGGGCGCGGCTCCCTGGCCCCCCACAGCGACCCAGGGATGAAGGAAAACTGCTCTGGTAGGGGGCCCAGGGTGTCCAGTGTCTCCCACTGGCTGCTCGGACCCTCAGCCAGCCTGCCCTGCCTGGAGACCTCGCTCAGATCCCCTGACTCTGCTTGGACCACCCCCCCGGCCAGCCTGTACCATGGGGAGACCCCACTTGGACCCCCGGCCAGCCTGCACCCATGGGGAGACCCTAACAGCCTTGGGGGACATCAGCGACCTTGAGACTCAGGGAGGGAGAGGGGCTGGCCAGGCTTTCACTGCCCTCCCCCGGCACACCCTGTCCAGCCGTCTCCACGGACAGTCAATCCCCCTCCCCCAGGCAGGCAGGGATCACACCTCGTTTTCCAGCAGAAACTCCATTGGAGGATTGGTGACGTAGCTCCCCAAGTTCACGGTTGGAGGGCCAGGCCTGCGAGCCCCGGACTGGTGCTTCCTTGTGTCCCTTACTTGCAGCAAAGGGGTCAGTGATGATGGATAAACAAAACGGGTCCATCCACACGCTGGACCACCACTCAGCCGTAAAGAGAAGCAAAGTCCTGACGCACGCCACAACACGGGTGGGCCTGGACGACATCACGCAGAGGGAGAGATGACAGCGCCGACCCCACTTAGCTGAAGTGCTGGGACAGGCAAACGCACACGGACAGAGGGAGACCAGTGGTTTCCAGGGACCGGCGGGAGGGGTGGGTGGGGCGTTATTGCTTCAGGGGCACAGAGTTCTGGTTAAGGGTGATGAGAACGTTCCGGAAACAGTGGTGACGCTTGCACAATACTGTGAATGTGTTAATGTCACTGGACGATACACCTTAAAAACGGTATAAAATTTTATGTGTTTTACCACAATTTAAAAAAAGAGAGAAGGAGAAAGCCCAGCCCCTGCACTCACAGGCCCTTCCAGAGCGCTCCCCACCCCAGCCTGGCCTCACTGTGGGCCCCAGCATGACCACCGCATGTGGCAACCCTCTGCCTGCATGCCCGTCCCCCCAAGCCCCCCAGCACAGGGCAGGATGAAGCCCACCCTCCCTGGGCAGAAGGTGAGGGAGGACGCGCCCCCAGCAGCCAGGGCCACACCGTGATCCGGGAGGGAATGCGGCCTGGAAAAGCTCTGTCCTTACATGAACAAGCCAGGCCTCCACTCAGCCTACAGGCAGCGCCAAGCTGGTGCCCCCCCCCACCTGGTCTAAACCCCTAAACCTGCCACAGTGGGGGCCTCGTCAGCCCTGCAAAGCTGTGCTCATGAGCTGGGCCTGCAGCCGTCTCCTGCAGGTGGAGCTGCTCGGGGCCGGGACCCCCTCAGCCTCCCTGCACTGCTGGCTTCTGGCTGTGTGGACTGGCCAAGTCCCTCGACCCCGACCCTGACGAGGGTCCCGGATCCCGGGCTGTCTTGAGGGTAGTGTGTATATGTCCTGCTGCCCGGCGGCCTGGCGCTGGCTCACCGCCATCCACTCCTCCCCCGCTGCCCCCGGGGCTTGGCCTCGGTCATCTGCCCGGCCGTGGCTGGACCCGCCAAGTGCCAGTGAGCCCCTGGGGGCTGCCAGTGCCAGGCGGAGGGCCAGGAGGGCGGCGGGACATGTGAGGCCTGGAGCTGTAAAGAGGCCGCGGCGGCAGGTATAAAGCAGAGCCCCTGTGGCCTCTCGCACCCCAGCCCGACCGCTGCCCAGAGACCTTGTGGGAAGCCGGCAGAGGTCAGCCCTGGCAGGGGAGGTGCTGGGGGGCAGGACAGGAGGCAGCAGGCCTGGGCAGCCCTCACCAGCCCCAAGGAAGCCCCCGGTCCGTGGGGTCCATGGGGTGAGCACGTGCAGGGAGCCTGCAAGGCCTTTCTGTGGGTGGCACAGCTGGGGCGGGGGGTGGTGACAGCAAGCAGACCCCAATGGCTGTGTGTGGAGGTGGGAGGAGGTGGGCTGGATGCTGGTATTCAGCCCCAGTCCCCATGGGACCCCTGCCTCCAGTGCCCCATCCCTACCTGGGGTCCCCAATGGCTTCCCCCCTCTCGCCACCAGAATATGGGGACCACTGGCAGATGCTACACAGACACAGAGGGTCTGAGTGGGCCCTGTTGGTCTGGCGTGCGTGTGGATGTCTAGTGAGGTCTCCTGGCCTTATAGATCGGGCTGCTGTGGGTGTGGAGGGCAGTTGCGGGGAGGGGCAGAGCCCTCCTGGGGGCTGAAAACCCAGCAGAAGCCTGGGGGGAGGTAAGATGGGGGAAGGAGGCCAGGGTGGGGGAGGCAGGCTGGGGGGAGGCAGGCCGGGAGGGACGCAGGCCAGTGGGGAGGAGGCTGGGGAGCTGTGTAAATGCTTCGCAGCCCCCCGGCGGGCCAGCCCAGCTCACCCCTGGGACCTGAGGAAATACAGTCACAGGCTTGGACGCGGAGATAAAAATAAATGGCCTGGCCCTGCCTTCTTCCCCAGCTTCTGGTCTCAGGCCCCTGCCTTTGTTGGGGGGCGTGGGAGGTGCACAGTGGGGCCTCTGACCTTGAGACCTTCAGTGGGGCTGGGGGTGGGGCACAACAGGGCGCTCCCGGAGCTGCCGGAAACAGGACAGGGTCTCCCCGCCAATCCCTGCTCCAGAAAGTGTGGTGACGCTGAGTTGGCAGGGCGGGGTGTCCTCCCCCAAGATGTGGGGGGGGAGGCTGAGCCTGAGGGGATCCAGGACAGGGAATCGGGGTCTCCAATCAGGGGTCTTCACTCAGCCACTCCCGGCTGGCCCCTGCCCCTTCCCCACCCACCTCTGTCTGCCAGAGTCCCCTTAGGGGTGAGGTCGGGGTCGGGGAGGACCCCGCTACAGGCCCAGTGCAGCGTCTAAAGCCTTCTCCTTCCCCTCCCCTCTTGGCTCCTCACAGGACCCTGCGGGAGGCAGGGTGGGCAGGGCCCCCCACTTCCCAGCTGAGGAAAGGAGGCTTGGAGCAGCCATGGGACTGCCCAGGCCGGAGGGCAGGGCTGGAGGACAGAGCCGCCCGGGCTGTGTCCAGCAGCTTCCCAGGCTGCGAGGGCTGAGATGCAACCTTTGACCCTCTGGGCCGCTGCTCCTGATGGGCGGGAGAGTGTTCCAGAAGCGGTCACCAGCACGTGAACTTTCAAGAGCGCCCAGGAGCCCCAGCTGCTCCTCGCACCCGCCGGCCCCGCCCCCCCGGCTCTCCAACATAGCTGGTCTGCCAGCGCCCCTGAACCCAACACCCCTGGGGACGCAACCAGAGCGCCCGGTGGTCACACGCCGCTGCTGCTGCGGAGGGCCCGCCCCGCCTGCCCGCGCCACCTGTGCCCAGACCCCCACCCACCCGCCAGGCTGGCCAGAACCCTGGCACTGCACAAACTCTCCAGAAAGGGGGACAGTGCCCCACACCCGCTGCAACCCACCCGGGCCTACCGCCCCCCACCCCCCGCCATGCAGGGGGATGGCTGTGGCTGCCCCTGCTCGGGCTGCGGGCGCTGAGTGAGGGGCTGAGGGGGCGGGATGGATAGTCTCTGGGAAAGACTCGGTGGAGAGCAGCTCACCCCACGGCCGCCCAGGCACAGGGCAAACATGTGGTGCCCAGCACACCTCGCCGCAGGGCAGGGACCAGTCGGCACCAGTCAGGATGGTGCCCAGGGCGCAGCCTGGGGTCCAGGAAAGTGAGGCCAAGGCCCCGCAGTCACAGGATGAGGCAGTGGTGCCTCAGGTTAACCAGGAAGACTTCCTGGAGGAAGCGGCTCCAGGAGGAGCCAAGACTTGGAGGAGGTGGCTTTGTGATGGGCCTTGAAGGACAGGGAGACTTCCACTCCGTGCTCAGAAAGCTGCCCCCTTTGCCCAGCTAAGCAGTGCCCTGTCTCCAGGCCTTAATTTCTTCTTCTGAGAAATGGGTACAAGGCCCTAGGGTGGCCCAGCTAGCAAGGGGGGGTGGACACAGATGCAGAGGAGGAGGGCAACAGTGGCCTGAGGCCTTGCCTTCCTCCTGGGTCCTGGGCACAGGATGCCACCATGGGGCTGGGACAGTGACCCCCCCCCCAGTCCTGCTCGGGCTCCTTGGGGACCCCCACTTGGGCAGGGAGGGGCTTTCTCCCTGCCAGACGTGGCCTGAGCAGACTCCTCACACCTGGCCATGCCCAGGGGCAGGATGGACAAGGCCTTCTCCCAGATGAGGAAGTTGGCCCTGGGCACATCCCTGTCGGAAAAGGACATCGAGCTGCTGCCCACGGATATGAGACACCACGGTACAGCACCCCCAGCACAGCACCCCCCTGGCACAGCACACACCCCAGTACAGCATCCTCCACCCAGGCACAGCACCCCCATCCCAGGCACAGCACCCTCTCCCAGACACAGTGCCCTACCAGCCCAGCTGTGCTGAGAAGCAGTGGACAGAAGGGCCCGTGGGGGCCCACACCTTTCCTTGGACTGACGGCACAGGATGTTGTGACCTGTGGGGGGTGGGGGGTGGGGCCAAGGGGAGGCCGGCAGGATCAGGGTGGGGGTGGGCCAAGCTCCCGGGCTCCTGGCTGTACCCTCCAAGCACCTACCTCTGAGTCCACCAGATGGACTGCCCCCGGGTGACCAGCCTGCCTGGCCCCAGGGTCCTTCAACTACCTCAAGTTCTTCAAGTACATGCGGAGGTTCCAGGCCTCGGGGCAGCTGGAGGCTGTCATCCGAAAGACCTTCCAGATGCTGGACAAGGACAACAGCGGCTTCATCGAGTGGAACGAGATCAAGTAAGGCCAGGGCTCTGCCAGCACCCCCTCCTGTGGCCACTGACAGCCCACCCTAGCAGCTCCAGGCCCCCCTTGGGCCCCCAGCCGGCCTTTCGGAAGGCTGGCAGCACCGGCCAAGCAGGAAACAGGGTTCAGGGGTTCGGGGACAGCACTGCCCCCCTCCTGCTGGCCCTTATCTCCCCGGGCCTCAGTCCCTCACCTGTCTGTAAACCACGGGCATCGGCAGACGCCCCTCCGGCTGGCCCTTACCTCCCCGGGCCTCAGTCCCTCACCTGTCTGTAAACCACGGGCATCGGCAGACGCCCCTCCGGCTGGCCCTTACCTCCCCGGGCCTCAGTCCCTCACCTGTCTGTAAACCACGGGCATCGGCAGACGCCCCTCCGGCTGGCCCTTACCTCCCCGGGCCTCAGTCCCTCACCTGTCTGTAAACCACGGGCATCGGCAGACGCCCCTCCGGCTGGCCCTTACCTCCCCGGGCCTCAGTCCCTCACCTGTCTGTAAACCACGGGCATCGGCAGACGCCCCTCCGGTTGGCCCTTACCTCCCCGGGCCTCATCTCCTGCCTGTCTATAAACCATGGGCAACGGCGGATTCCCCTCCGGCTGGCCTAGCTCCTGTGGGCCTCACCTGAGCCCGCCCTTGGCCCCAGGTACACCCTGTCCACCATCCTGAGCAGTGTGCCAGCCACCCCGCTGATGGATGAGGAGGCGGAGGCCATGATCCAGGCGACTGACATGGATGGGGACAGGAGGATCAACTTTGAAGGTGGGTACAGCAGGCGTGAAGTCTGCCGGGCAGGACCCCAGCCCTGGGGATGGCCTGCCCAGCCTCTGACCTTGGCCCTTCTCCCCGCCCCCCCACAGTCAGCCCCATCAAGCGCCCATCTCTGGCCCATGCTGTGCTGGGCCTACGCTCCCCCGAGTCCTTGCAGCCATCACTCCCATTTTACAGATGGGAAAACTGAGTCTCAGATGTGCTAAGTGGGATGGGGAGTCTCACGGGGACTAGAGAAGTCACAGAGGTTTGTGAGCAGAGGAGAGGGGTGGGGTGGAGTGGGTAGGGCCAGGTGGGGAGGGGGCCATGGAGGCAGGGCCCGGGACCTGAGGAACTGCAGGGGGATGTGAAGGAGGGCAGGCCGGGCAGACAGCTGCGTTTCCAGGGCACGGGATGGTGGGAGCTGGGTAAGGGCTGCAGTCCAGAGCGAGCGGAATTTGAGGAGCTCATGGGGCCCGCCCTGAGGACATGGGTCCCCCTGCCATCCCGTCCATGCTCCCCAGCAGCCAGCAGGGCCTGGAGGACAGAGGGTGGGAAGGGGCACCAACGATAGCGCTCGGAGGGCTTGCTGCAGATGCTCTTTCTCAGCTGAGGCCTGGCCCATCTTGTTTCCCTGGGCCTCTGTGTCTGGCCTGCCAAACGCCAGGAGACCCCTGGGGGGCCCACAGACTTCAAGCGGGACAGCCTGGCCGAGGAGTTCACCAAGGACTCGGGTCACCAGCCTCTCTGTGCCTCAGTTTCCTCCCTGGGAAAGGAGGGGCGACCCCAGGGGCACCTGCTTCAGAAGGTCTGGTGGGAATTCCTGAGGGTCTTCCACAGACCACCCCCAGCTCCAGCCCCAGCGGGGTTCATGCTCACCCCACCAGGCGGGCACAGGGGACCTGTCATTAGTGATGCTGGGTCGGTACTGGCTCTGTCCTTCCTGTCCCCAACAGGATCTGGGCTTCCGGGTTGCGGGGTCCTCCCATAAAAGGGGGCATGGCCCACACCCCCAGGAGCTAAAGGGCCTGCAGGGTTTGGGGCGGGGCACAGGACTGGGGTTGTTTATTAGGAACCTGTCTCCTGCTCTAGAATTTTCTGACTTGATCAAAAAGGAGAAAATTCCCAAGAAGTAGTGGCGCCCTCCCTGGCCCGGTCAAGGCCCGGGGTCACCGTTGGGTCCTGTGTGCCCAGTGGACACCCCGGGGCGAGCCCAAGGAGGAGGCCAGGGGTCGGGGGCAGCTTGTCCAGGAAAGTGAAAGAAAAATTGCATTAAACAATGCTGCACGCTGTGTGTCTGTGGGTGTCGGTGGAGCTCAGCCAGGGTGTGTGGGGACGGCTGGGGGTGGGCAGAAAACAGGAGGGGAGGCGGTGGGGGCGGCGTGGCCCCTGCCCCTCCCCTCCTCCCCACCCCATGCCCTCACGCCTACCTGTGTAGCCACCACCCACGTGGGCCTCAGTCTCCCCATCACCCAGCCACCTGCGCAGAGAGCCATCACCGCGGCCAGCCCTAGCCCCTCCCTGACCTCTCAGCACCCCGCTCTCGGGCGTGAAGACCCCAGCAGGACCCCTCCTCAGTTGCTGAGCAGTGTCCCGGCTGCCCGGGACCCACACCCCGGCCAGAGAGTCCAGGGCCAGCTGTGTTCACCTCCCACCTCCCTGAACGCTTCCCCGGCCTCCCCTTCAGTCCCCTTCAATGCCCACCCACACTCACACACCTGATGCTTCCCGCACACCCACCTGTATGCTGGCGGCTGTGTCCATACCTGAGACCTTCACCCTGCCCACCTGCCATCGCCTGACCCTCCTCCCGCGCCGCCCTTCCCCCCAAGTCTCAGCCGTGACAGCTTCAGGCTTCAGGCTGCTCGGGCCAAAACCTCACGGAGGCAGAGCCGTGAACTGTTCTGCAGGGGCTGTGCACACCCTCTGCCCGAGGCCAGCCTCCCAGCTCCGCACTTCTCGCCACGGAAGTTGCCCAGAGGTGGGCCACTAGGGCTGTGGTTTGCAGCCAGTAGGGTTCCTCCTCTACCTGCTTGCTGGCCCCGAGGACTCAGGCCTCAGGGATGGAAGGGCCACAGGGTGGGCAGAGTCCCTCAAGCCCCCATCACCCCATAAGATGCCTGCCAGTCAGGACCCACTGCTGGGCTATTACACCCCAAAGCCCCCCCTTTCCCATAAGTGAAGATGTCTGCAGTCTGGACCCCCTGCTGGGCGATCACAAGCCAGAGAGGAACTTCCCTGGGGCCATGGCTGCTTGTCTGCGGTGGCAGCTATAATCCATACATCACCCCTCACTCTTTCACACCCACCTGCCTCTGCCTTCAACAGGTGCCCAGAGGCCCCCCTCCCCCCACCATTCTGGCCACATCACCTCTCCCCTGGATAACAGCCAGAGCTTCTCAATTGGTCTCCGCGCCTCAACCTGTCGACAGTTTATTCCCACCACAGCAGCTGGGGCTCCTTCTAAAGTGTCCTTGTTAGGTGCTGTGGATCTGACTCATGGCGAGCCCATGCACAAAAGAACAAAACACTGCACACTCCTGCACCATCCTCACAATCGTTATGTTTGAGCCCACTGTTGTAGCCACTTCATTGCAATCCATCTCACTGAGGGTCTTCCTCTTTTTCGCTGACCCTCTACTTTACCAAGCATGATGTCCTTCTCCAGGGACTGGTCCCTTCTGACAACATGTCCAAAGTACGTGAGACAGTCTCGCCATCCTTGCTTCTAATGAGCATTCCAGATGTACTTCTTCCAAGACAGATTTGTTCCTTCCTCTGGCAGTCCATGGTATATTCAATATTCTTCGCCAACACCACAATTCAAAGGCATCAATTCTTCTTTGGGCTTCCTTATTCATTGCTCAGCTTTTGCATGCATATGAGGCGATTGAAAACACCGTGGCTTGGGTCAAATACACCTTAGTCTTCAAAGTGACATCTTTGCTTTTTAACACTTTAAAGAGGTATTTTACAGCAGATTTGCAAAATGCAATATGTTGTTTGATTCCTTGACTGGTGCTTCCATGGGTGTTGATTATGGATCCAAGTAAAATGAAATCCTTGTCAACTTTAATATTTTCCCCGTTTATCATGATGTTGCTTATTGGTCCAGTTGTGAAGATTTTTGTTTTCTTTAAGTTGAGGTGTAATCCATACTGAAGGCTGTGGTCTTTGATCTTCATCAGTAAGTGCTTCAAGTGCTCTTCACTTTCAGCAAGCAAGGTTCTGTCATCTGTATATCGCAGGTTGTTAATGAGTCTTCCTTCAATCCTGATGCTGTGTTCTTCTTCATATAGTCCAGCTTCTCGTAATATTTTCTCAGCATATACATTGAATAAGTATGGTGAAAGGATACAACTCTGATGCACACTTTTCCTGACTTTAAACCACGCGGTATTCCCTTGTTCTGTTCGAACAACTGCCTCTTGATCTGTGTACAGGTTCCTCATGAGCACAATTAAGTGTTCTGGAATTCCCATTCTCCTCAATGTTATCCGTAATTTGTTATGATCCACACAGCCGAATGCCTTCGCATAGTCAATAAAACACAGGTAAACCACTCTCTGGTATCCACTGCTTTCAGCCAGGATCCATCTGACATCAGCAATGCTATCCCTCATTCCACGTCCTCTTCAGAATCTGCCTTGAATTCCTGGCACTTTCCTGTCGATGTACTGCTGCAACCATTTTTGAATTCTCTTCAGCAAAATTTTATCTATGTGTGATATTAATAATATTGTTCAATAATTTCCACATTCCGATGGATCACCTTTCTTTGGAAAAGGCACAAATATGAATCTCTTCCAGTCAGTTGGCCAGACAGCTGTCTTCCTAAAATCTTGGCATGGACGAGTGAGCGCTTCCAGCATTGCATCCATTTGTTGAAACATCTCGATTGATATTCCGTCAATTCCTGAAGCCTTGTTTTTCAACAATGCCTTCAGTGCAGCTTGGATTTCTTTCTTCAGTACCATCAGTTCCCGATCAGATCCTACTTCCTGAAATGGTTGAACATTGACCAATTCTTTTTGGTACAGTGACTTTTATGTATTCCTTCTATCTTCTTCTGATGCTTCCTGCGTTGTTCAATAATTTGCCCATAGAATCCTCCAGTATTGAAGGGTTCCTTCTAAAACAGAAGTTGGCTTTGTTACTCTGCTCGGAAGTTTCCGGAGGCTCCTCAGGTCCCCATGACCTCTCTGACCTCAGACCCTACTCCGCTCCAGCCACACTGGCCTCACTGCTCCTCAGCCAGACACATCCCTGCCTCAGGGCCTTTACATGGCTGTCCCCTCAGAGATTGTGTGACAAGCTCCTTGTCTCCTGCAGTGTTTTCCTCCAGTGTCCCATCTCAGTGAGGTCAGTCTTTTCCTGCTGGGTTCTAACTATGCCCAGACCTCCCTGACCTGACCTGTTTTCCTGTAGCACTCACCACTGTCTAACACACTGACAGTCACTTATTTCTTAGGTTTATTTGGTGAGAAAACAAACCAGCAGGACACAAGGTTCCGAGATCCCAGAGAAGGGAGCCTGAGAGGTGAACCTGACATTGGCATGGGTTCCCGTCAGGCATCTGGCTCTTGGTAGCAGTAGCTGACAGCCCGGGCAGTGAAGGATGGTGTTCGGCCTCTCCTGTGCTCAGGACTTGTCAAGGAAGGGGGCTTTGCCTATAGCTCCTAAGGGACCACCTACTCAGAGTGAGGACAGATGGAACACAAACAGGTACTCACAGAGCCTAGACCCCAGCTTCACCATCAGCCGGTCCCAGAGGATCTGCCTCATCCCTACGCTAACTGCCTGCCATGAGCAAAAGGAAACCCTCTAGAACAAGAATAAGGTGATAGAAAGGTTGAAAGCAGAGAAGGGCAAAGATACACCTGCAAACACTGAGTAGAAACTGGTATACTAAACTACCACCAGATAAAGGAGACTTAAAGGCAAGAATCACTGCGAAAGGTCAAGAGGGACATTCAAATGATAAGAGGGTCAATACGCCAGGAAAACACAACAATCTAAAAAGTGTGTGCACTTAATAACATAGCCTCAAAATGTATAAAGCAAAAATGAGACAGACAATGCATAATCATGGTGGGAGGTTTTAACATTCCTCTCTAAGTAATTGACAGAACAAGCAAGAAGGAAATCAGTAAGGATATAGAAGACTTGAAAAACACAATGAATTGACTAATATACATACAGAACTCCGTATCCTACTATTGCAGAATACATGCTATTTTTAAATACACAGATGGAGCACTCACCAAAGTTGACCAAATGCTGGGTCATGAAGCAATTCTCAATCAAATCAAAGGATTGAAATAATGTAGAATATATTCTCTGACCATAGTGGAGTTAAGTTAAAAATCAAAAACAAAAAGATAAGAAAAGCAATATGGTTGTAAACAACCCATGGATCAAATAAATCACCATGCAAATTAGCAAATATTTCAAACCTAAGAATAATGAAAATACAATATACCAAAACTTGTCAGGTGCAGCTCAAGTTGTGCTTTGAGGAAAATTCATAGCCTTAAATGCAATACTTGAAAGGGAAAAGTGCTGACATATAAGAATCCTTTTCAAGAAGCCATAAAAATTTTTAAAAATTAAATCCGAAGAAAGGAGAGGGGAGGAAACCCCGGAGTGTTAAGTTCATTGTTGATTATTGGTCTCCCCTGCTAGAACAGCAGAAAGGTGTTTGGTTTGTTTGTTCATGGTTGTATCACAAGTTATATGCCCGGCATAGAACAGGAACTTCAGTGACTTGTTTGACACTGTCATCTGCCTCAAAAAAAAGGAATGTGGATCAGAAATGCATCTATCTGGGAGAGGACTAAGCCCATGAGAGTGGGCTGGACCGTGGGGAGAGGGTAAGGAGGGGGGTTGAATTAGCCCCAGGTAGAGTGCATTTTGGTTGGCAGTTTGAATCCACCAGGCACTCCTTGAAAACCCTATGGGGCAGTTCTACTCTGTCCTACAGAGTGACTATCAGTCAGAATCGACTCAACAGCAATGGGTTTGGTTTGGTTTTTCATAGAGTGCATTTACAGCCCCGCCCCCACCCTGGCCAGGGTGTGTCCCCTCCCCTAGGAACCTTGTCCTGCCTGGGGGCCCAGAGACTTGGCCCCACTCACTTCCTGCTACCCACCAGCCTGGACAAGGAAGAAACCCACCCACTGTTATCAAGTCAATTCTGACTTATAATGACCCTATAGGACAGAGTAGAACTGCCCCATAGGGTTCCCAAGGCTGTAAATCTTTACAGAAGCAGATTGCCACATCTTTCTCCCATGGAGCGGCTAGTGGGTTCGAACTGCTGACTTTTTGGCTAGCAGCAAGAACTTTAACCACTGTGCCACCAGGGTCTTTGAGAATCACTGAGCTGGCAGAAGCCAGGTTCCCCGACAGTGGAGACTCGGGGTATTCCCCCCTCCCACCGGTCACAGACTCCTCCGTGCCCAGGGAGCACACCAGTCCTCCTGCCTCTTCATTTGTTGGGTCTCTAACCACCTGCAGCAGAAGGTGCTAGAAGGCTAAGGGGGGAACAGGAGTGACCTGGGCCCCTCCTTGGGAGGCTGGGCCTAACAGCTGACCACTGGAGCAGTGCCACCCCTGCCCACCCCAACCCTAGGGACTGGGAGTGGCATCTTGGTTCCCCCTGCTTTGTGGTGCACCCATCTAAGTGAAGCAACAGTCCGGCAGGAGAGGCAGGCATGCCCTCTGGCCAGTGCAGCCTCTCAGGGACGCAGGCCCCCCAGCCAGGGTGCGCAGCCGCAGCACAGGACACGTGCGGGCCAGAGACCCAGAAACTGACCGGAAGCCTGACCCCTTGACATCAAAGGCAAATCGTCTTTATTATAATATGTGGTAACCAAAACTTGGGTGAAGACAAAAATGGGAACCCAAGCAAGCTGATGAAAGTGGGGTGTCGGGAGGGGTGGGAGAGTGGCTGGCACACAGCAGGCACTCAGTAAGTGTGCGAGTGGACGAGCACATATGTGTGTGGATGAATAAAGCGGGAACCTGTCGATCAGGAGCTGGGCTCAGGGCCCCCTCCGTCCCCCAGAGCCACCCCCAGGCTTGGCTGTTTCCCTGCCTGTAAAGACACCTCCCGCCCCTGCCCCCGCTGTCCCTGTAACAAACACCCCTGAACATCTGTCTGCTGTTTCAGCCCGACTCCAGAGAAGAGCTCGATGTAGCGCTCCACCCCCCCCTCCAGGCGACTCCCAGCAACATCGGGTGGGAACACCTCTGGCTGGTCACAGCATCAAAGTTTGTGCCAGGACAGGGAAGCCGGCGTCTCCCCCGATTGGGTCCCCTGTCCCTCCCGGATGCCGCAGCTTGAAGGGCGTGAGGAAACAGCTCCTTCCCAGGCCTCAGCTGCAGGGCCCTGCCGACAAGGACCCACGGTCCTGTCCTCCCTGGGCCCCTCCAGTTTGGGGCCTCCTGTCTCTGGGGTGTGTGCAGCCAGAGTTGGGTGAGGGTGGGGAGTCGTGGGTGGTCAAGGGGCCCTCCTGGTGTCCCGAATGAGCCAGGGCCCCTCCTCACCACAGCCCAGGACTTCGAGCCGAGTCAGCTTTCTCCCTGCCCCTCATCGCCAGGTGGGGGACGACCTGGAGGGGAGGGTACCGGGCAGGGGACCCAGAACCTCCTCCTTGAACAGCTTCAGAAAGAACCCAGTCAACACAGGGCTGCCTGCAGGATCCCGGGCTGCGCCCAGTGGCACGGCCTGAGGAAGGTTCCTGCCCAAAGTCACTCAGCTCCTAGGGGCCTGTGCCTGGTTTCCGCCTGACTCCAGGGCCCCTGCTGCCTCATCTGGGGCCTTGGCTCTCGTGGAGACGCTGCAGTACTGACCCGGGAGACCACGGCTGATGCCCTCCCCTCCCCTGCTTCCCTCACAGGCCCCTGAAAAAAGGAAAAGCCAAGGAAAGCCTGCAGGTGCTGAGCAGATGGTGAGCAGAGGGTCCGGCGAGCAAAGGGTCCAGCAAGCAGAGGGTCCGGCGAGCAGGGGGGCCGGCAAGCAGAAGGACTGGCGAGCGGGGGGCCAATGAGCCGGGGGGCCAATGAATGGGGGGGCTGGTGAGCAGAGGGGCCCAGCTCCACACTGGGTGTCTGAGAGGGAGGGGAGAGCCTCGGGGACACCAGCCGCTGTCCTCCAGAGCGCCACCCTGCCTGGAACTGCCACGATGGGCTGGCGCCCCGGGCAGGCCCTCTCCCCACGGGCAGGCCATCCAGCCCCCTCTCCTGGACTCCCTCCCACGTGGGGGATCTGGACTCTGCAGTGCCACTCATGCTGGGGGTCCCCAAGGGGGGATAGGGTCTTCTGGAGGGCTGCCTGCTCAGCCTGGACAGTGGGCTGTGGGCACCTGGGTCGGGGGGGGGAGCCCTGAGCCCTGGGAGGACAGGGGGGTGGGGAGAAGAGGAGGCCGGGGAGGACTGTGAGGCCAGGAACAAAGGGCCTTCTCTCTGCTCAGGGCCTGGGGGCAAGGGGAGGACAGGGCGACAGGATGGAGGATGGGGGCTTGGGGTGGGGCAGCTGGGGAAGGAGGGCTGGCCTAGCTGTTTGCACTCGGACCCTCCCTCTCGCCCCCGCCAGGAGAGCCAAGTGCAGAGTCTGCACAGCTACAAAACCACCACATTTTACTGTTAAAATACAGCGCGGGACCTCCCACCCCTCGCGCCAGGTGGGCCGGAGGGGCAGGGCTTCGCACACAGGGCCACAGGTGGGGCCACAGGTGTCAGTCTTCACCGAGGCTCCTGCGGGCCTAGGGGCGGACCCTCGGCTCACTTGGCGGTTAGGGCTGGCCGCCGGCACTGCTCCAGCAGCTCCTCCAGGTGGTCCGCCCGCTTCACCGCGGCCTGCGACACACAGCACACACGCGCCTTCAGACCAGGATCCCCTCATCCCAGCCCCTGCCCCAGGACAGCCACAATCCCAGGACCTACCTCATGCTGCTTCCGGAGGGCGTTCACTGTCTCCTCCTTCCTGGCCAGGGCAGCCTTCACCCTGCAGGCGAGCGGGCGGGGGACTTCTGTGCAGGGCTGCCCTTTGCCCCCCACCACCCCCCGCAGGCCACTTTCGACCTTTGAGTGCAGCAGGGGTGGCTTTGGGGTGGGGTCCTCCCAGGGGTGCAGCCCCACCTTGCCTGGGGCAGCTGGCCAGCAGCCCTTTCCCAGCCCTCCTGACCACACGCTGGGCCGTCTGAGGGATGGTGACAGGGCTCTGACCCCATGAGGGCCCCACGCCACTGCCACAGAGCCAGCCTAGAGTCAGAATCCAGAGGGGGCGCCTGCGACACCAGGACCCGCCTGGGGCAGCCCAGGGAGGGGTCCGTGTGAGCCGAGGGGACAGCCCCCACCTTGACCCTGAGTCACCCCACACCCAGGCCCAGAAGCGCTGGGACAGCCGGCGGGGGCACCCACTCATGGCCAACCTCCGGGCACACCCCTGCCCCCAGCCCAGGCCCTGGACCCCCGAGGACCCCAGGCAGCTCTGACTCTCGGAACAGGCAGGGCACGCTCCTGATGGGGGGCAGCCCTCCTGACCACATGACCATACCAGTTCCTGTCAACGCCTCGATTCTGTGCCCCCTGCAGGACGTCCCCAGGGCCCCATCTCCCCCTCCCCCTCCGAGCAACCCCTCCTCTTTCCCGTGGTGCACCCCCCTCCCCTGCTGTGTGCCCCCCTCACCTGTAGCACGCACCCCCCCGTGGTGTGCTCCCCTCACCTGTAGCATGCCCCCCTCCCCTGTGGTGTACCCCCTCACCTGTAGCACACCCCCCTCCCCTGTGGTGCACCCCCTC